GGGACCGGAAGTGATGCAATCTGCATCGCTCCCGGTCCCATAGAACGGGGAGGGGATCGATGAACGGAAGTTCGTTGACCTCCTCCCCAGCTCCCCCACGACACCAAGGAAGCCGGTCCCGGGCCCGTAGGAGGGGCAACAGAGCCCGGGAAGAACGGCGTCGGCCCCTTCTACGGGACACAGAAGCGATCTGGCGACAGGTAAGTCGCCAGAATCGCTTCTGTTGTAAAGCCGACAGTCGGCTTTACAAGTTTAAACAGAGTCCCGGCGGCTATTGCTATTGTCTATTGTACGTCGTCAGTCACGAAGGGGTTAATGTTAATACATGTAAAGTAATGCATTTTGGGGTTACAAACAGGCAAGCAAAATACACAATGGGAACTCCACTAGGGAAGTCAGAAATGGAAAAAAAAATTAGGGGTTATAGTAGACAATAGATTGAATAATAGCACGCAATGCCAGGCTGGGCTAACAAAGCGAGCAGAGTACTGTCATGTTAATACAGTACTGTAGGGAAAGGGAATGTACTGTAGAGAGAAAGCGATCATTTTGCCATTGTGTAGATCACTGGTGTGGCCTCATCTTGAGTATGCGGTTCAATTTTGGCCACCTATCCCCAGAAAGGATGTCCTGGAACTGGAGAAAGTCCAGAGAAGGGCATCAAAAATGATTAAGGGACTGGAGGACCAAAAACTTGTTCACGCTAGAAATGAGGCGATTAAGAAGGCACATGATTTTAATGTACAAAATGTTTTATGGTGATGGCAACATCAGCAGTAAACTTTTTACTATATAGTAAAAGGTATATACATATAGTATAGGGGCTTCTTCTCAGTCAGAGTGGTTACATTTTGGAGCTCGTTGCCATAAGCAGTGGTATCAGCAGAGAGTATTGAATCATTCAAAAAACAATTAGATACCTTCTTAAGAGACCGTAACTTACAGGGGTCCAGGTACTCTTAAAACCTTAGACCCCCAAGGGACTCATACACACACACTTACACCTAAAGATTGAACTCTATGGCCCTGTGTCTTTATTCAACCTCAAATACTATGTAACCTTGTCTGCGACATGACATTTTAGCCATGCACAGAGAGAATAGGGGGATAGCCCTTCCTTATATGGAACTAAACCATATTATAGGTATCAAAATAATATGCTACCCCTCTCCTCCTTTCATCTATTCCATTGGTTCAACCAGAAAGCCGCCCCGGTAAGTCGTTATGTTACCATTAGTAACCATTAGTACGGAATCTATTAACTATATGGGAAAATTTGATAGTTTCACAGAATATCATCCAATGAGGGCCCTCTAACACTGATAATGAGCAACCCAGACTTCCCCTGGAGTAAAATTCAAAATCGCTTTTTGAAGTGGAGCGTTTTAAGTCCATTCCCAGTGATGCAAGCATGTACAAGAGAGGGGCTGTTGTCATTAACATCGAGTGAAGAGGCCCCCTCCTTGTGGAGACCTTAGTTACCATATCTTCAATTAAAAAAGTTCTTATCGGCAATCGGAGAGGTGATGAGAAAGCTGACACCATTTGAAGATCTTTGTGTATATAAAAGGGTTGATACCCAAAATATCTCAGTTTTGTATACTATAGTACTAAGACAAGTGATCCCCATATGCCCATATTATACGAAAATATGGGAACATGAAATAGGTCGTACAATATCAACAGAGGACTGAACCAAAGTCAGGAAGGACATTTTAAAATAATATCTAGGTGGTATAGGTGCCCATTGAATCTACAAAGAATATACCCAAATGTGACTAAGCAATGTTGTAGATGTGGGCGGGAAGAAGGGACCATGTTGCATATTTGGTGGTCATGTGAACAGATTAGACCATTTTGGAAGGCTGTATATGAAATTGAGAATTGGATGACCGGAAACACCACTAGCGTTGTTTTCAATTATCCCTGGATTATATAGGAGAAAGCTTAATTAGATTTACACTGGCTGCAGCTAGAGTATTAATATCTATAGAAGTGTGGAATGTAGGGAAATATGTAAAACATGGAGAGCACTGATATCATCATTAACCTTACAGGAGCTCTGCTATGAGTGGAGAGATGCCCAACCAGACCATATAGTTTTTTTTTTTTTCTTTTCGTGGCCTTACTGTGTCTAGTCTATTGTCTTGTTTTGTAGGTATTCATTCTTGTTAGTTTTTGGTGGGGTAATCCATTATTTGTATGTTTGGAGAACTGTACAAGAGTGATAGCATCCATGTAACTTAGGGATTAGAAACCCTGTCTTCCTCTTCCCCACCTATATTGAGACTGGGGTTGATGTGAATAACGAGGTAATATAGCAGGTGTTTGTCGAAGTATTACTGTAAAGTGCATTTTCCCGTTCTGAGATATTTATAATGTATTTTGTCAATTTGTATGGAAAATTAATAAAAATATATATATAAAAATAAAATAAATGCACGGACAAAATAAAATGTAAAAAAGTGCATGTTCTACAATTTTAAGTGATCCCCCCCCTCCCCTGTTTGCAAGCAGGTACACACCTTCCTAGAACCGGTCCCCAGCTCAGAAACAATTCTGATTGGTCAGTGTGGTCAAGTGACTGCTGAGCGAAGAGTGCTCGCTATTTGTAGGTATTATGAGCATTCCATACTGCAGGCCTGGAAGGTACACTGTATAGACTGCTACACCGATCGGCGGGTACTTCAGACCAGTAAAAAGAAAATGTGTTATGGTCTGATGAGACCAAGATTGAACTTTTTGGCCATAATTCCAAAAAGTCTGTTTGGCTCCAAAACAATGCTGCACCCACCCACCATACCCACAGTGAAGCATGGTGGTGGTAGCATCATGCTTTGTGGCTGTTTTTTCTTCAGCTGGAACTGGGGCTTTAATCATGGTGGAGGGACTTAAACAGTTCCCAAATATCAGTCAATTTTGGCAAAAAATCTTCAAGCCTCTGCTAAAAAGCTGAAGATGAAGAGGAATTTCAGCATGACAACGACCCCTTCAAATCAACCAAAGAATGGCTCCACCAGAAGATCAAAGTTTTGGAATGGCCCAGCCAGAGCCTGCACCTTAATTCCAATCGAAAATGTGAGGGGTGACCTGAATCACCCTCCCCCTTTAAAATAATCACATTTTGTTGCTTTGCAGCCTGAAATTAAGACAGAAAGTTTTTGTTTTATGCAGCTGTATTTACTCAGTGCAACTTATAACATTCAAGTGAAAGATATAACACCAACATGTCAAAAGAAATAAACAAAATTCAAAAACACAGTCACTGAGTTGGAAAAAGGATCACCCCCTCCTAAAACTGACTTGTAAACTCAATCAGGTGTAGCTACTCACCTTCTCAATGGCACACAAAGCCATTTGACTTTCAACTGTGATCAGGTCATTTTAATTAACCCATAGTGTATTGTTTGCTTCAGTTGCACTACCAGGCACTGACAAGAGCTTTCCTAGAGAATTTCAGTCCCTGGTAGTGCAACTGAAGCAAACAATGAACTATGGGTGGCAAGGCACTGTCAAAAGATCTCCGGGATAAAGTTGGGGACAGGCACAAGTCAGGAGATGGATAAAAAAAATAAAAAAATAAAAATTCAAAGGCTTTATCAATGCATAGAAGCACAGTGAAGTTGGATAAAACTTTGTCTTCATTTCAGGCTGCAAAGCAACAAAATGTGATTTAAGCAAGGGGGGTGATTCTTTTCTATTATATATATATAATTATTGTTTGTGTGTGTTATATTTAAAGTCCCCTTTTCCACATTGTTTTCTTTTCCAAATATAATAGACTGCAGCAATTTTTTTTAAGCAATTGTACCTGAAAGGTATGATATATACATTCTTTAGAGACATTTTAGAAAATTGACAATACATTTTCTCATTACATTAAATGTTTATTCACATGAAATAAATCTAAATCCATCTTCAGTTTCTGCAGGTTAAATAAAAACTTACAAATCCAACTTTCTCCCAACCATACCTTAGTATTCCTATTGTATATACATTAACTAATACATAATGCTACTAGCCACAATGACTGCATAAGAATTATAGTGATCAGTAAGCACAGTTGGCACAATTCAGTAAACATGATGTTGCCGAAAAATTGCCCTTTAATTTTACTTTGCAGCACTTCAAGTTGATAAAAGTTAAATAAAAAAGGCTATTTGAAGCTATATGTGTGCAGCTTTCAAATAAAAACATGGTTCCGAGTGCTGGCTTTACCATGTAGATGGGGCCAGGCACACAAAACCTTATCACTCCCTGTTGCTGCACCAGCTTCTCTGCATTTGAATGGGTATGTGTTTTTGGTATATTTGATTGCTATATGATCAGACTATGAAACAAAAAATACACCAAAAAATAAGAAACAAAAAAATCTATCTCCTTAAAATTTTCATTTTCATGATATTCGGACTTGTTTTTTTTCTGTTGTCTCAAACTCCTTGATAACAAAATACACAAAAGAATATGTGAAAAATACAAGGGAACGGGCACAGAATGTCCATGTAATCAGTATGTTCTTGATTTACCTGCTGATCACATGCTATGTAAAACAAAGGGGTATGACATTTCTTTGTTTTATAACATAGGAATTATGCATCCTGCATTCTTACAAACAATAGGTACATTGCAGGTCAATGATCACGTGGCTTTTTCCATATTTCAGGGATAGGATTTTGCCTTCATAGTAAATACTAAAACATTGCAGTAAAATGTCAGATATTTTGTCAAAATTTCAGCAAAGCTAAAACTGTCAAATTCGCTCATCCCAATATAGTTAAATGCTTTAATTAACAATTCACAGACTAACTGCCTAATTTAATTGAGTTTCCAGATAATAGAACCCAAGATTACATCTAAAATCCAGTTATAAACAACTTTGGATGATGAAAACATTTGTTGTATCATATGCTCTACAATTTCTGTTTAAAATAGAAAAATAGGCACAACTAGAACAGCTTGAGATTTCATCCTGATCCATACACGTCCCTGGTTATTTTGTTTTAATCACTGTCTTCACTATCAGAATACATTCCCAGCAAAGACAGAGACGATGCTTTTGAAGCTGTTGGTACACACAGGATTTCAGTGGAGTTACCTATAACAAAGACATAAAAACATACATGCAATTATGAACTCATTTCTATAAAAACATGCTCACAAAGAATGTAAAGCTGCCAACCCCCAGTTTATTATCTAATCTTTCCCTGTAATGATGATACATCTTAGTTATTTAGGTGGATAATTCGGTTTCATTGAAATTGAACTCCTAATTCCAACCCATTTGTAGCTGATAACAAGCGATTCCCAGACATGAAAACCTGTACCACACCTAATACTGATGAAGTGACAGATAGTCACAAAACGCGTCTATGGGTGTTTAACCACAATAAAGCTCATCCTTGTAGGAATATTAATCGGAATTTGGATATTGGAGACCATTTACACTAATCCAAGGGCACCTCTGCCTCTACACTAAACGGGAAACCTTTTCAGTCCACCATTAACACTATATTCTATTTTAGCGGCTCTGATTACTCCTCTGCCGATTTTGTTGCATTCCTTCTGGCTCTGAAATTATTAGGGTGACCTTCCAATTTATATTTTGAAAATATATTATTTTATTCTTTTATATTTGTTGCCCAATGAAATACAACGAAAAAATTGTGACTAAGCGCTAAAGGTAAAGTCAATAGATGGGTAAAAGCGATTGTAAGAGTGTTCGTTTAACACAGTCTAAAAGGGTTAAATTAATCGTGAATTGGTGTTAAGAATAACAGTAAGGCCCCGTTCACATTGAGCGATTCGCAAATCGCGCGCTTTGCATTTTGCGCGATATCGCTCAAATGCTTGCATCAAAAACCATTGAATCGCGGCAAAATCCGCTCCAAAAAGGGTCCTGCTGTAGCGACACACGACCCGCGACAGCAGGACCCTTTCCCCCGTTGCAAAGCATTGAAGAGCGATATCGCGCTGTAAATAGCCGCGATATGGCGGGAATTACCGCGCGATAAATCGCACAATGTGAACGGGGCCTCAATGTCTTAAATTAATTGTAGCAAAAGAACTATGAGAAAATCAAACACCAGATATCCAAAAATAACATATGTGCAAAATGATCGTGACAAGCTAAGGTGATAACGCATATAAGACAAGTTATTTGTAAAAGTGTTACATTAAGTCATCGATCGGTATATTGTAGCAGAGATCGTAATAACCACTAAGAGTGGTTAAATTAAATCAGCAAACGGTAATGTGCAAAAAAAGATCGTGACAGCCACTCAAATGATGGACAGTCTAAGGAAATCTTCAAGCTAATCTAAAAGTGACAGTCTTGCAATATCAGGTAGGCAAAAAAATGTTCAGTGGATGATATTTGAAAGACGGAAACCTTATCTCAGGGATCTGTGCATATAAATTGTTTGTTGTGAGGAAGAGGGAAGAACAACAAACAATTTATATGCACGGATCCCTGAGATAAGGTTTGCTGTCAGCGCATCCAGGAAAAATCGCCGCTGTATCTGAAGGAAACATCTCCAGCACCGCAGAGAACAGACTCCCCTTCTGCTGAGCCTTAACGTGGGAAGGACCGAGTCCAAACAGGGCAGGACCGAGGACCAAACTGCTGTTAATCTAACAAACTGGTTTACTCACTACATTCTGGTGAGTACCCATCTATAAGGGGATCGTTGGATTGAATTGAAATAGATCAACTATTATGTGCTTTTGTTTCCGTCTTTCAAATATCATCCACTGAACATTTTTTCGCCTACCTGATATTCTCACTGCAAGACTGTCACTTTTAGATTAGCTTGAAGATTTCCTTAGACTGTCGATCATCATTTGAGTGGCTGTCACGAACTTTTTTTGCACATTACCGTTTGCTGATTTAATTTAACCAATCTTGATTGCTGATTGTGATTTGTCACTTAGTGGTTATTACGATCTCTGCTACAATATACCGATCGATGACTTAATGTAACACTTTTACAAATAACTTGTCTTATATGCGTTATCACCTTAGCTTGTCACGATCATTTTGCACATATGTTATTTTTGGATATCTGGTGTTTGATTTTCTCATAGTTCTTTTGCTACAATTCATTGAAGACATTTACTGTTATTCTTAACACCAATTCACGATTAATTTAACCCTTTTAGACTGTGTTAAACGAACACTCTTACAATCGCTTTTACCCATCTATTGACTTTACCTTTAGCGCTTAGTCACAATTTTTTCGTTCATTCTAAGGAGATTTTCTCCTTTCACTTCTTAGCTGCTTTAGGTTTATTTATTTTATTTAAATCCAGGAGCGCAGATTATTCTTCACATAACAATGGCAAATACAGTTGTCCTTGTCTTCAGTGTTTTGTGTTAAGAATATTTGATCCCGTTGATTATATAGTTCTTAACATATCTAACAGAGCATTTTTTTAGCTGGGGATTTCACCATCTGGGCCCAGGAAATTGTCCGGCATTATGCTCAAGAAAGGAGTCTTTTTTGAAAATGCAGTTCCACTGGCCCAATAAATAGCAGGGTAACTTAAAATCCTCCATAATAAGAACATTGCCCCTTTTCCCAGCCTCTTCAATCTATAAAAGGAGGGGGGAAACTGTTCATCACTTTTTATGTGGGGGAGGGAGGGTGTGATGACATACTCCTTAATTTACTCAATTACTCACTTTGTTTGGAATAACGCCTCTCATTAAATGTTCCAGTCCACACTCTTCTGCCCTAATTACAAGGTGGACTAGTGCTAGCACTCTTTCAAAAGCCCAACTACACTGCACAGCTAGCCCAAATAGTTTCCTGGTACATAGAGCCTCCACTATGAGTGTCCCTGGAAGCCTATGCATGCACCCTGATATTGATCAGCAATCTTCTCTGGCTTAACTCCCGATGGTGCAACAGTCTAATGCCATAACATTACAATTTCACTTTACTCATTGACACCAAATGTATTTCCCCAATATCTAAAACCCTAGCTAGTGAACACCATCAGTTTTGCTCATCTCTAGCTACACAACAACCCTGAATTCAAAAAAGGAGCTTCTATCATGGACAGTAATGTCAGCAATCCTGATGAGTAATCATTTTAGCTGCTTGCACATATAGCGAAGTTCTGGCATACTGTAGCTTGTGGCCAAGAGGACTTTAAACTAAATGATCTCATATGGTCTCTTACATGACTTGTAAACAAGAGCAAAATACCTCCTAAATATTTTCACAAAAAGGTAATGTCACTTGTGTAAATGAACCTCATTGTATTAAGAAAAATAGGAGAGTCCACGAGTAGGAGTCCGCTCCCACTCCTAGAATTCCTCTGCTGTCTTAGCAAGCAATAAGGAGTGAATCAAAGAAAAACAGAGGTGAGGGACCAGTGTCCTGTGATGTACTCCAAGAAAAAGATTTTATAGGTCAAAAAACCTATTTTCTTTAAACCATACATCACAGGACACAGGATTAGCCTGAGAATACTAGGACACCCAAAAACAGTCCAACTGCTGGGCAACACAGAAAACAAACACCATCAGGGCCACATAACAACAAAGAGAATTCGAGAAACTCGGAGAGCAGCTTGAAGCACCTTATGCCCAAAACGTATGGAAGGAGAAAACCACTTTAAGGAGACAGGAGGCCTTAGGGCAACCTAATCCCTCTGCAACACTAGGAAGGGATCCTTACAGGATAAGGACACCAACTCAGACACTCGAGTTGTTGGTGACAGCAAGAAAGGTAACCTTGAGTATGAGGCCAGTTAAGGTAATATCCCTCACAGGCTCAAAAGGTGTCCTCTGCCTTGTGTCCCTCGACGTCAATGGGCGTGTACTGAGGGAGCAACGTGACAAAGACCCTGCAAAAAAGCATTTACCAAGGAGTGAGTGGCAAGCGGTCTTTGAAAAAGAATAGCTAGGGCTGAGATTTCACCTTTGATGATGCTCAAGGCTAAATGCTGAAGAAAGGACAGGATTCACCCCATGGAGTACTTCCTAGGATGGAATTTCTGAGCCTTCAGGAGCATAGGAAGGACTCAGGACTTGGGCAAAAGCAGTCAGTCTATCTGTTAAAGGCAGCCACCGAGAAGCAGGGTGGTGGACTGGCCCCTGGGACACAAGGACTGAGTGTTGATATATATAGAACCAAATTATCGCCTTTGTTTTTGATCTGACAATAAATTGGGGTATATTCCTACAAACTCTGGCTTATCTTTTCAAAACCACATAATACTATTCCTCCATCTTCCACCTTCTCTTGTACTCAGAGAGAGAAAAAATGCTTCCCATAGTGTAGTATCAGGGGTGTGGAAATTTAAAAAAAACCTACTTGTCCAAGGGCTAAAGCGGGGGCCGAATCTACTTGTCCCTCATGACAATCTACTTGTCCCAATACAAAAAAATTGTTTAAAATCAAAACTAGGGATGCACCGATATAAGTTTTTGAGTATCGAGCACGAGCAATGATTCTGTTTGCCCGGGAAGCCTGCTCCATGCCATCAGGAAGCTGGGCAGCAGGTAATTACATGCTACCCAGCTTCCTGATTGCCAGGAAAGCAGACTCCATGTTGTTTGGCCGGCTTGATCATGATTGGCCAGAAAACCGGCTTCCCAGCCAATCAGCATCGAGCCAGCCAATCAAGAGAGAGAGGCCGGGCCAGATTTGATTGGGTAATTCCATTTTTCCATATTATTTGGGAAAGTGAGCTTGGCTCTATAGATCAGAAGTGAGGGAACACATACCGCCGCTCGCTCACTTCTTGATCCTGTCCCTGCAGAGAGCTGTAACTGTCACTCACGACTCCCTGCTGGGCTTCTCCCCCTCCTCCAGCACTGACTGGAGGAACGAACGGGGGAGGGTACAGCTGGCTCTGCCTCTAGATAGACAGAGCCAGCTGTCAATCATGCAGCTGGGTGGATCTCGACAGTAATGTCAGGATTCGTGTTGGCTGCGGCGGTCTCAGTATATAGTGAGCTGTAGCTCGCTGTATACTGAGCTTTGGGTCACGGGAGGACGCTAGTTTATGCCCTCCTGTGATCCTTTGTGGAACTATGGGGAAAAACACTGACCCCATAGTTCTCCTTTAATGCATATTGTGCGT